GTTTCAGGTAGGATATTATATGCTCCTGACTCTTCAGTGAGGCAATTAACTGAGTCAGTGGACTCAGCATTGATACTTCATTGCTATCAGAGGCCTCCATGAGGATACTATTACGGTCACAGGCCTCATTGAGAATACTAAATGGGTCAGAAGCTTAGTGACAATGGAGGATGGGTCAGAGGCCTGAGGATATCACATGCATCTGAGTCTTCAGAGAGAATATTTTGTGTGTCAGAGACCTCAGCAAGTATATGGGCTACAGGCCTCACTGTTTATATTACATGAGCATCAGAAGCCTGAGGGAGGACATTCAAAATGTGTCAGAGGCCTAACTGAGGATAGTTTGCTTTTTGAAGGGCTAAAGGAAGATATTGTTTGTCAGAGGCCCCAGAGCAGATACCAGGTATCAGAGGCTTCAGTGTAGGTAGAAGGTGTGAGAACCTTGAATGAAGATTTCATTGATTTCAGAAGCAATGTTATTATCATAGGACTCAGTGAATATACTAGGTTAGTGTCAAAGGAAAAGAGAGGACATTCTACGTATCAGAATCCTCTAGGAGTTTATTATATGGATTTCAAAGACCTCAGGGAAGATATCACATGATTCTTGGAGCTGTGAGTGGGACATTTTAAGTTTCAGAGTCCTCAGGAAGTTGATTGGGGTGTCAGTAGCTTCAGTGTGATTGTATATGAATGTCAGATGCCTCAGTGAGTATGGGATGTGAATGGCAGAGGAGGCATGGAGGATATCCTATCAGGGTCAGAGACACCCAGGAGAATTCTAAATAAATAGCATGGCCCAAATGAGGATATTGCAGGGGTCAGAGTCCAGTGTACATACAGTAAGAGTAGGAGTATCTGTAAGCCTATTATATACCTTAAAATCTTCATGTGGATATTTACTGCCAGAGTCCAGAGCGAGGCTATGAACTGATTGTCAGAGGCCTCAGTGAGAATCATACATATGATCCAGGACTCTGTGAAAACATTATGTCCAAGTCAGAGGCCTCGGTGAGGATGTGCAATGGGTCAGAGTCTTCATTGAGCTTACTCCATGATTGCCACAGGACACGGTTAGGACATGTTCTGTGTTCAGGGCCTCAGTAAGTTCAGAACGTGCATCTGAGGACTCAGTGTGGATAATATATGTGAGAGACACCCAAGTAATACTATTACTATAAACATCCTTAGTGAGGAAAATATTTGATTGCAATAGACCTTGTTGAAGGCATTGCATATGTTTGACATCTCAGTATGTACAATCTATGGCTCAAATGTTTCATGAAGGAAATCCTATGTGTCTGAGGCCTCACAGAAAATATTATGGAAGTACCAGGCTACTCAGTAAGAACATTGCATGTGTTAGAGTCCTCAATGAAGAGAGTATACCACTGTCACATCCCTCAGTAGGATATTACAGTGTGGAATGCCTCAGCATTTGTACAGCTTGGGTAAGAGTCCTCTGTGGAGTTATTGTCTGTGTCAGAGACTTCAAGGGGATACTTAAAAGTGTCAGAGGGATCCGTGTTGATAGGAAGGTACTGTCAGAGTCTTCAGTGATTTTTTAATATTTTAGACAATAGGGATCTTTGCCAGTGAGGCTCTTAGGTGTACCTGAGCTCTTGCTGATATATTCACTGAGGGCCAAGAGGATTGAGGGAGGATATTTTTTGAGTCCCACAAGCCTCTATGAATAAGTTGTGCAACTGTCAGAGGAACCAGGGAGGAAAGGATATGAGTGATAGAGATCAGAGTGAGGATATTGTACACTTAAGAATCCTCAATAAACAGAATAGGAGTGTTTATGGACTCAGTGAAATGATCAAGGAATGTCAGAGGATTCAGTGAGTATCTGATGTGTCAGAGGAGGACTCACTAAGAATATTACCTGAGTGTCAGAGACCTCCATGAGAATGTTTCGTAAGTACCATAGACCTGAGTCTTGATATATATGTACTGTAATAAGAAGAGGACTCTGTTAGCATATTATGTGTGAAAGTTCTTTGAGGATCAGAAATGTGAGTGAGAATAATACATTTGTCAGGGGACATACTGAAAATATTCTGTCAAGGTCAGAGGCCTCAGTGAGGATGTGATATGGGTCAGACTTCATTGAGTTTATTTTGTTATCACCTCAGTCCTCAATTAGGGATGTTGAATATTTGTGTCAGAGGCCTCAGGGTAGATAGTACAAGTGTCAGAATCCTCACTAACTATTTTATATGACTGTGAAAGTTCTTAGTGAAGAAAACTTCTGAATATGAGAGGCCTTGCTGAGGATATTGTCCTCAGTGAGTATATTTTAGGGCTCAGAGTTCTCAGTGAGGAAATTCTATGTGTCAGAGGCCTCCTTGAGAATAATGATGGCAGGCTAGGGTACCCAGTGAGGACATTGTATGTGATGAAGTTTTCAGGGTACAGAGAATATATCAGTGTGAAAGGCCTCAGTGAGATTATGAAATGAGCACCACAGGCCTTCGTTATGATCTAATATGTGTAAGAGGCCTCACTGAGAATATAATCTCTCTCAGACTGGTCGGTGAGGAAAATATGGGCTCAAATGACTCATTCTATACTGTACATAGGTTAGAATCCTCAGTGGGGTTTTATATGTGTCAGAGACCTCAATGATACACATATGTCTCAGAGGATTCATTGTACCTCACGTTACCTTCAGAGACTTCAGTGATTTTTGGATGACTCTCAGAGGGTTTAAATCTGTGTGGACTTCCGTGCCCCAGAGCACTCAGATATTCCTTGAATGTCAGAAGCCTTGATTAGGATATTTCTAAATGACAGAAGCCTCAGGGTGGATATTATATTGATCCCATTGTCCTGTATGAGGATGAAATCCACTTCAGAGTCCTCAGTAAGAATGTCATTAGTGTTTGGGACTCAAATGAGATAGGGTGTGAATGTCAGAGGCCTCAGGGAGGATTCATGTTAAGTGTTAGAGGAAGACTCACTGAGGATGTGATATGAGTGTCAGAAACCTTTCTGAGGCAATTATAAAAGTATCCAAGGCCTCAGTGTGGTTATTTTATGTGTCAGAGACTTCATGAGGATATTAAGTGTCAGAGTCCAGTGCCAGGGTATTACCAGAGTATCTGAGGCTTCACCAACAATTATGAATGGGACCAAGATCACAGTACAGATATCCTGTTAATGGCAGAGGCCTCGATGATGATATGTGTCAGATTCTTCAGTGACAGTATAATGTGTTTGTCACAGGCTTCACTTTTGACATTATATTTTGTAGAGTCTGCAGTAAACTTACCATACTTGTCAGAGGCCTCAGTTTTCTCCTATAGAAAGGGGCCTCTGTGAGTACATGATGGCAGTGCCTGAGGCCTCAAGAAGACATTCTATGTGGAAGAGACCTCTGTTATCCAATTATACATGTCAGATGTCTTCAATACTTTATTGTTAGTATTAGAGACCTCAGTAGGCCTCTTATAGATACTGTAGGTGTCAATGTAGATATTATATATTTCAAAGACCTCAGGAAGTTAGAAGCCTCTGGGAATATATTATACCTGTCAGATGGTTCAGGGAGGATGTTACATACACCAGCCATCTCAGCAAGGCTATTCAATGAGTCAGATGTCTCAGTACCAGTACTTCATTATTGTCAGCAGCCTCGGTGAGGATACTATTAGGGTCACATGCCTCAGTGAGAATACTAAATGCATTTGAATCCTCTGTGACAATGGGACTTGTGTCAGAGGACTTAGGATATCATGTTTTAGAGGCTTCTCTGAGAATATTATGGTTGTCAAAAGAGTCATTCGGTAATATTTTATATGTCAGAGCCTTCAGTGAAGACAGTACCTTTTTAAAAAGTTTCATGTGTCTAGTGAGGGCCCTGAATAAAAATATTATTGTGTTTCAGAGGCCTCAATATGTTTTTTCCTTATTTGTCATAGGCCCTCATATGGATATTTTATTACACAGGCCTCAGTGATGATATTGAGCATGTTAGAAACCTCTGTGAGGACATTATTGTCAGAGCTCTCATTGATTATATGTGTAGAGGCCTCATTGATAATATTATATGTGTCAAAGAACTTAGTTTTTTATGTGAGTTTTAGAGATCTCATTTTTTTTAAAGAGAGAGTGAGAGAGAGAGAATTTTAATATTTATTTTTTAGTTTTCGGTGGACACAACATCTTTGTTCATATGTGGTTCTGAGGATAGAACCCAGGCCGCACATATGCCAGGCGAGCACGCTACCGATTGAGCCACATCCCCAGCCCTAGAGATCTCATTGAGAATATTTTTATGTGACATAGGCTTCCACAAGAATTTTATAGGTGTGTCAAATGCCTCAGTGAAGATATTATATTTGTCCTAGTTCTCTTTGAGGATATCGTATGAGTGTGCAGGACTTGAGTGTAGACATGTTATTTTTTAGGGGTCTCAATGTATATGTGATATCAGCCAGTGGTATCATTAATGATATTTATTGATGTCATACTCACATTATTTCAGTGCATAATATACATGTTAGAGTCTTCATGAGGATATTATATTGTATTTAAAGCCTCAGTGAAATGTTTTATAAGTTTAAAAGGCCTAATTGAGGGTATTATACTATTCTTTGAGGCCACAGTGAGGATATTATTTTAGTATTTAAGGCCTCAGTGAAGATGAGTTTCAAAGGCTTGTATGTGGACCTTATATTATAGTTTGTAAGGCCACTGTATGGATATTTATATGTGTGTTCAAGGTCACTCTATGAAGAGTATATTAGCATCATGGGCCTCATATGGATGTATTAACATTAAAAGCTACTCTAGAGATTGCATTCAAATTAGAGTATACATAAAAATAACAGTTTTATAGAACACTGTATGGACATTATTCTAGAGGACACACCTTGGTTGTCCATGGAATCAGTGGTCATTGTGTATTTCATTTCTGATAGGAAGACTTCTCTCTGTGTGGTCTCTGAGGTCTTCATCTGCACTGAAAGCATAGACAGAAAACTTTCACTCACCATTGCAGGGCAGACATTGTTCCTTTGGTTGTCTGTCCTCCAATGAGTTGCTGCCTCCACCCTGGACACTGTGTGGTTGGGTTAGGCAGCAGGATGCAGCACAGGATGCTGCAGTTCAGGAGTTTATGTGTGACACTCCTAGCATTTCTGAAAAATGAATAAAAGTCAATACTGTAGTTAGATTATATTGAATGCCATAATTTTGTAAGTTCAAACAGAAATGAACCCCATAACCCATAATTTTTCAAAAAATGGTGATAAAACATATTTTTGGAAACTATGCTGAAATGAAATAAATGTTGACAGAAACTGAGGCCTTGGGTACAATCCCCAGCACCACAAACACAAAAATTATATTTTCTACTCAGTGAAAAAGGTCATTTAGAGAACAAAAACATAAGTCACAAATGGGTGTAACTTACTTACAAAACACAATTTTTGAAAAAAAAATTTATTTACAACATATATCCAGGGGTGGCACATGACTGTAATCCCAACACCTTGGGAGGCTGAGACAGGAGAATCATGAGTTCAAAGCCAGCCTCAGCAATGGGCAAGGTACTAAGCCAACTCAATGAGATCCCCCCCACCCCCCACCCCCGTCTCTAAATAAAATACAAAATAGGGCGGGAGATATGGCTCAGTGGTCAAGTGCCTCTGAGTTCAATCCCTGGTACCCAAAATTAAATAAATAAGAATTTTTAAAAAACATACAAAGACCTCTTAAAAACTAAAAACTAAAAACCCAAACAAAAATGGGTAAATATCTGATACACGAACAAATAAAATATGAAGGTGGCAAAGAGCTATATGAAATGATGCTCTAAAATTATGTATGTTAGGGAATTACAAATTAAAACAATAGCATGGCAAAGCTATTATAACTGCTAAACTTTAAAAGAATGACAATATGTCAATAGCAAGAGGATGCAGGACATTAGTACTCTCATCCACTGCTGGTAGAACACATGGCAAAGCCACTTTGGAAGACAGTATGCCAGTCTGACCAAAGCAAAACAAGTCTAATCTATGATTCCAAACAATTGCACCCCTAAATTATCTGCATTTACACAAGTGCTTTGAAAAACTTTGTCCAACCAAAACCAGCATATAATTATACACAACAGCTCTGCTGTTGCTAATCAGATCAGAAATCAGTCCTTCAAAAGCTGAATGCATAACCAAAGTAGAGTACATCCACACAACAGAATATATTCAATAATATAGAATAGAAAGGAATGAATTACCCATTTATGCAAAGATAAAGATGAATCCCATCTGTATGTTAAGTGAAATAAGCCAGGCTGAAGAGTCTACAACCTGTATGACTTATTTTTATGACATTCTAAAAAAAGTAAAATGACTAAAAGGATAAGCAGACTAGTGGTTACGGGGGGTGGGATTTGTAGTATGGCACTTTAATGAAGTTTACCTAACATTATTTGAGAAAACATATGGAAATCTCAAATTTTATTACATTATTTAGGATTTGGTAATACCCAAGGAAGTAATACAGAACACGAGAAAGAATCTAACTATATTACAATTGAATGGATACATCCACCACAGGTTGTAGGCAAAAGGTATAGACCTAAGCCATTTAGAAATGAGAAGGATGGGAAAGAACCCTTATAAAGGCTTCTTAAGGGAGCTGTTTCTACATTCTGCAATGAGGATATGGCTAGAAAACACAATCTATGAAGAGCAGGTCCTCACTATACATCACACTTACCAGCGCCTTGGACTTGGACTTGCCATTTTTCAGAGGTATAGGTAATAAATTTTTGTTGTTTATAAATTGTCCAGCCTAAAGTATTCTGTTATAGCAGCCTAAGAGAACTAAGACACTGGTTTGTTATAAAGAATAGACCTGAACAGTCAGATGAGGAGATGTCCAGGATAAGACCCAGGAGGGTTCCCAGGGCACAAGCCTCTGTCCACATAGAACTAGGCTGTACTGCCCTCCCTGCACATGGATACATTTGACCACTCAAGAGCTCCCTACCTCACTCCTTTTTAGAGATGATTTGTGGAAACTTAATCATGTAGGCATGATGGATTATTAACTCAATCCCCAGCTTCTTTCCCCCAGTAGATGTGGTGCTGAAGGTTCTAAGCTTCTAAACCTGGTTTGGTCTTTCTCATGACCATCCTCCATCCTGAAGCTGTCCAAGAGACCATCAAGAATCCTTATGAGAACAAAAGACATTTCTATCAACCAGGAGATTCCAAAGGATTTGGGATCTCTGTGTAAGTAACCAAGGTCAGAGGACAAATATTAAAACAAAAGATGTTCTTAGCATGCCTATCACTCAGCAAGTATGAGTATTTTATGAGCTCTCCACCAGAAATGGGGGGCAGAGGCCAAATATGCATTTCTTACATCAAAACCTATAATCTGGAACAATAATGAATTAATTGTGCATAATGGGACAATGAATTAATTAGAAAGCAGATGCTAGAAACCAGGTTTCTCATTACTGAGGTTGGAAATTACAGATAAGCAAGGGGTAGGGGGGAAGCCTAGAAGGATCTGTGTCATAATTGATCACAGTCCATTGCCTGCAGATCAGAATAAACTCACATTTAGCTTAGTAGAAACACAGATCTTCCCACATAAAAGAGTTATAATTAGATGTGTGTTTAGATAAAAAATACATATAGCAAATTAAAACTACATTGAGATTCCATTTCACTCCAGTCAGAATGGCAATTATAAAGAATATAAGTAACAATAAATGTTGCAAGGAAATGGGGAGAAAGGTACTCTCAGACACCTTGGTGAGACTGCAAATTGGTGTAACCACTATGGAAAATAGTACGGAGATTCCTCAGAAAACTCGGAATGGAACCACCACTTGACCCAGTTATCCTACTCCTTGGTCTATAAACAAAGGACTTACAGCATACTACAGTGACACAGCCACATCAACATTCATAGCAGCTCAACTCACAATAGCCAAGCTATGGAAACAACCTAGGTGTCCTTCAATGGATGAATGGATAAAGAAAATGTGGTATATATACACAATGTAATATTACTTAGCCATAAAGAAAAATGAAATAATGGCATTTGCCAGTAAATGAATGGAACTGGAGAATATCATGCTAAGTGAAATAGCCAATCCCCAAATACCAAAGGCTGAATGTTCTCTATGATTTGTGGATGCTAACCCAAAACAAGGAAGGATGGGGAGGGGAATAATAGAAATCCATTGGATTAGATGAAGGGAGGGAAGTGGGGACGGGAATAGAAAAGACAGTAGAATTAGCTTTCCTAGCCTTGTATTTGAAAACATGACCAGAATAACTCCACATCATGTACAACCACAAGAGTAGGATCCTAAATAGAATAAATCATACTCTATGTATGTATAATTTGCCAAAATACATCCTATTGTTATGTATAACTAAAAAGAATAATTTAAAAAAAAGAACACACATATAAACTTCTTTGCATTGTCAGCTGTCAGGGTCAAGATGCAATGGGCATATTTACCTGCCAAATGAAAGTTTTTGGGTGGGGGGAGGGAGGAGTTTTTTGTTTAATTTTTGTCTTTATTTATTTTAGTACTAGGGATTGAATCCAGAGGTGATTAACCATTGAGCCACATTCCCAGCATTTTTCATGTTTTATTTTGAGACAGGGTCCCACTAAGTTGCTTAGGACCTCACTGAGTTGCTGAGACTGGTTTAAACTTGTGAAGCTCTTGCCTCAGCCTCCTGAGCTGCTGGGATTACAGGCATATGCCACCACAACTGGCCAGATGAAAGTTTTTAATATCACTAATCAAAAGATCTAGGGCTCTTTGAAGAAGTAGCTGATACTATGACTGAGACAGTAAAGACATGAGTCAGGGTAATCCTCAACTATCAGAAGTAAGGAATTTTGTACAAAATCATTAAAGTATGTTAAAAGAAATCAGGAAACAATAGAAAGAACTCCCAGTGGAAAAAATGGTCAAAGCTATTCCCAAAGACTTCAAGCAGGAATGAATTAAGCAACAAAGTACTATAGACTTGGATAACAAAACAAAAGCTTGGAGTAAATATCCAGATGCTCACATTGGTACAAATAAATGACTAAACAGACAAATAAAAAAGGTTAAATAAAAATCTCTTATGCAGAATTTCAAATAATTGAGGTGGACATTTGGCCCCCAAGGAGTTAGGCCTAACTTCCTACTCCTTAAGAGGGGGCTCTGCACAGTGACTTACTCCAAAACAACGTATATAATGTGGACATGCAGAGAAACATAACTTCACAGTGAGAAACCTGGCAAACACTACATCAGTCAGATGAGCACAGTTAATATTAACATGAACAATTCACCTTGAGGATATAAAATGAAGAACAGCACTTCATCTGTAATCTGCTTTCCCCAATCCATAACCTGTATACATATGAGAAAAACACCAACTAAAAATCTAAAAAGTACCTGACAGGTACTCCTCAACTGTCAGGTCCTCCTCAACCAACAAGGGCATCAGAGAAAGGAAGGTCAGAGAAACTGTCGCCACCAAGAAAAGCCTATGGAGACAGGATGACTGAACATCATGTGGGATCTTGGATGGGGTCCTGGAACTGAAAGAGGCAGTACTGAGAATCCAAAGGAAACACAGACATTAGTTAATAAGAGCATATCAGTATCTGTTCATCATGAAAAATTATGTATGATGTTAACACATCTGAGATAGCTCATGTAAGTCATAAGAGAAAAAAACTGGGTAGAAGTTACATAGTAGATCTTTGCACTTTCTTTGCAATTTCTGCATAAACATGAAACTACTCTAAAATAAAATCTTAATACATGGCTATATTTTTCCAAATACCTGCTCGTTTAATTACTCAGAATGTTAATTACTAATAATTGATATTCTTAACTAGTTCTTCATATTGTTAAGAGCATTTATAACAAAAATATTTCAAACTAATAATGTAAGATAAGTATTTCTTTTATATATTTTATGTTAAAGTAATAACATGTTTAAATTTATCATTATTTATTTTTCTACTGCTAGGTTCTGGATTTTCTAAAAATTTCAAAACTTTAAAGAAAAAAATCTACATTTTAAAGACACTATTTCAAGCCATGGTTAAACTTTTTCAAAAGAGTGATGATAAAAAAATGTTACAAAAGCAGATTGATTCATTGTGAATGAATCATTCATCCCAAAGAATTCTTATCTTTTGTTTGTTTCTATGTATACCCTTTAACAGTAATAGTATCAAATATTTGTCACTGGGAAAAATATTCAAACAAAAATGTATACAGAATTTGTGACAATAACATATGATGCTTTCTAAAAAAAGAAAAATTTAAAAGAATATCAAAGTCAATTTCCTCCATGATGCTCTTCAGAAGTGGTAAAACTAGAGAAACATCAATGAAAGCATGGTTTATGAGTGTTTTATGGGGAAATTATATTTTAGAAATCACAAAAAAATATTGGATGCCCAAACTCTGGAATGTTTTCAAATGTAGTTGAATTTCTATGTAAGTTTCTCATTGATATAGCTAGTCATAAAGCTAATAAAAACAAAGAATCTATGGAGCTGGGATGTAACTCAGCGGTAGCATACCTTACCCAGAATTCAGGAGGCCCTGGGTTTGATCCCAAACACCATAGAATTTTTTAAAAAATCAGTGCCTTATTTGTGTAATCAAATAGAAAGTGAACAATTACCACTCTTAGGAAATGTTAAGCCTGAAAAACAGTTAAGACTATCAGAATCAAAATACTCTTACTGTGGGTTGTATAATAGAAATAGCCTATTGTGAACAGATGTGTCACATCATAAAGTATATTCACATTAAATATCCTGTCAGAACAACAAAAAAGACTTTGATGATCATTTAGAAGGAGAAAATGGCTATATTAGATTAGAAAATTATTAAGAAATTATAAACATGATAATGATATAAAAATTCTCTATGCCATACTAGGCACTTTGACCTGTAATCACAGCTATTTTGGAGGCTGAAGCAGGAGCATCATAAAGTTTGAAGCCAGCCTCAGTACCTCAAGATCTTAGCAAAACCCTGTCTAAAAATAATATTTAAAAAGGGCTGAAATTCATTGCTTGCCTAGCATGGTCAAGGTTATAAGTTTAATCCTCAACACCATAAATAAATTTAAAAGAATAATTCCAAACCAAGCATATAATATGAGATAACTAGGGCATTTATAGAAAAGGGTGGAAGACATTATGTTGAATACCCCCCAAAATTTAACTATATTTAATTATTTTTTCAGCTCATGATATTAACATGTCTAATCTCCACTTCTATAACTTCAAATTAATCCATTAAAATATGGTAAAAAGTGTATGTACTTTTTTAATTATTTCAAAATATGAGTTATACTCAACTCTATTCTAAAAACTACCTTTGAAGCACATAGAGGTACCAACATTTATATAAAATGAAATCAAGCCATTTCCCACCCAAAGTAATATTTAGTAAGTACTAATATATACACACATAATTTCAAAAGAAATTAAAATTGATGAAATCAAAAGGTCACTGGTATGCTTTTAAATGCTATTTTGAATCTAGGAGAAACACTTAATAGATTTCTCCAAAAATAACTTCTGATAATATATAAAGCATGCTTAGTAGAAGGTCAATTCCCTTGCTTGCAAGGAGTAAGAGAAACTAACTACTTGATGAATGTAAAACTTTAATAAGATATACGAATATGCTTTCTAAATTTGAAAAGGTAGAAAAGGTCTGTTTAAAAAAAGTCTATTTTTGGTAAATGTATCTTTTTTTTAAAAGAATCAACTGACTTTTCTCTTACACTCTGTAATTATTTCAGTGGTTTTAAGCATCATGTATTATCAATAGCTGGCATTTTAAAATATCACCATCCTCTTTCTATCTATAAAATTGATTAGCAAATTTTTCTCAGAATAATTTCAACCCAATTTGGAAAAGATCTCTCTGTGTGTGTGTGTGTGTGTGTGTGTAAATACATAATATTTTAAATAATTCCCCTGACACTTGGGTCCTGTCAAAGACACATTGTCTGTGTGTGGTGCTGGAATGGAACCCAGAGACTTTCAAATGTTAAGCAAGTGCTCTGCCACCAAGCTACACACACAGCCCCAAAGACCTTAATAAGCAGAAGATAATTAAAATTTTTTTGAGATAATGAGAATTGTCAAACAAGATAAATCAATCAAAACAAAGTAAACTAAAAAGTATATTTAAAAGTATTATTGATGAAAATAGCAGAAGTTCAAAGTTAGAGGAGAAATTAAAAATCAAACTGCAGAAACCTACCGCATAAAATTGGAAACCTAGAGGGAATGGGTGATATCCTAATAAAAATACACATTAACAAAAGATTAAAATAAGAAAACTATGAATGATCAATCAGCTTAAAAAGTTTGAAATGATGCTTATAGATCTCCCATTGGGGAAAAAAACAGGAACACAGATTCACAGTTGAGTGTTAACCGACTTTTAACAATTCTGGATTTACTTAAAATGTTCATGATCTAGGAGAAAAGAGTGAAATTATTACTTAAAATAAATTCTTCAATTAATTAAAATTAATTTTCTCAATTAATTTAAATTAATTTCTTCAATTAACTTTATGGTCTAATACCAAGACCTTATCTAGTCAAGATATTTCAGCAGACATAGAATATCAACACAGTATTTAGCATACCATTACAAATACACTGCCAATTAAACTGACTTACTCAACTAAAGACAAAATGTATTCTCAATCAAAATGTTGATTAATTTAGTTCCATAAAATCCATGAACTATTTTTTTCACAAATTCTGGCTTTATTAGAAATAACATATTTAAACGTAAATAACCTTGTGGGTTTCATACATCTACTTTTCCATTTTTAATATTTTTCCTGCTTTAACACAGTAAGAATAACAATTAGAACAATTCCTCCTCCCTCTGTGCCACGGTTCCCCAGAAATCACCAAAATAGCTGAATTATGATGACAAGTAATCAGAGCCTTATGAAGGGATGTTTCCCTAAAGTAAACCTTGCTGAATTAATAAAGGAGAGCAAGGCTCCCTCCTCAGTGAAATCAGATTCACTCCCTCAGGGCATGGAGTGAATCTGATTTTTCTGCACTCTTTCAACCTTTTCCTTACCTGCTGCCTATTTATCCAGAAGTTTCTGGAAGATCTCTCTGAGGTTGCTCTGGGCATGCCTATAGACATGACCCACAGTATCCCCAAGCCAGGATCTCTCCAAGGCTAGTCTGAGAGCTCTAGGAGTCCCTGTAGATATGACTCATAGTGTCCCCAAGCAAAGCAACACTCTGAGGTTGCTCTGAGGAGAAGGGACCTCTGGATGATCCTACACACATGACCCACAGTACCTTCGAGTCAGGCATCTGCCTGAGGATGGTCTGAAAAGAATGGAGCTCAAGGTGTCCCTATAGCCTTGACCCACAGCTGGTCTGAGAACGGAGTTACAGCCTTGATCCACAGTATCCCCAAGCTGTGTGTCTCTCTAGGGCTAGTCTGAAGAGAAGGGAGCCCTAGACGTCCCTGTAGATACAACACAAAGTGTCCCCAACCTGGGACTATTCCTGAGTCTGCTCTAAGAGGAAGCTCCAAGTCCCCATACACAGGAACCACATTGTCCCCAAGCTGGGAGTATGCCTGAATCAGCTGAGAAGGAGGCAACTCCCTGTCCCAATACATATGACCCACGAGGGTACCCAAGCTAGGAGAGTCTCCTCAGACCAGAGGCACACAGGGGACATAGTGTCCCCGAGCTGGGAGTACCTCCTCAGACCCCTGGCACAAGGAGGACCCAGGGTCCCCGAGCTGGGAGTATGTCTTCAGACACAAGGCATACATGGAACCCAGGGTCCCCGAGCTGGGAGTATCTCCTCAGACCCCAGGCACATGGAGGACCCAGGGTCCCTGAGCTGGGAGTATCTCCTCAGACTGGAGGCACACAGTGAACCCAGGGTCCCTGAGCTGGGAGGACCTCCTCAGACCCCAGGCACAGGGAGGACCCAGGGTCCCTGCGCTGGGAGTATCTCCTCAGACCCGAGGCACACGGAGGACCCAGGGTCCCCGAGCTGGGAGGACCTCACACCCGAGACACACGGAGGACCCAGGATCCTGGAGCTGGGAGGACCTCCTCAGATCCGAAGCAGGTCTGAGGAGGAGCTCCGTATCCCCACACACAAGACCCACAGTACCTTCAAGCTGCGCGTCTCCCGGAGGCCGGTCTGAAGAGAATGGAGCTCTGCCGCTCCCTGCTGGTAGACCCACCAAGCTCGCGATTGTTCCTGAGGCAAGAGCTCCAGACCTCACACTGAAGAAGGCAAGACAAAGATGGAACCGCGAGGCACCTCCCCCTGCTGACCCCGCCCAGTGCGGGACTCTGCTCAGCGCAGAGCCACCACTCCCTGATGGCCACGCCCAGTGCATACCTCTGCTCATGCGCAGAGGCAGTTGCATACCTGGTCTTCTGGGCGAGTCTCTCTTTGAAACCACAGCTGTTACTGAATAGAATCTGTTGCACTTCCCAAACTAAGTCTGGCTGTGTTTATTTGTGGCATCCCCAGAAGTGGAATCTAAGGAGAGGAGAAAAGG